AAAAAAATTGAAGTTGAAAAATGTTTTTTTTTTTAAAAAAGCTTTAATTTATTTTTTCAACAAAAAAAATTGATTTTTTCAACAAAAATATTGTAATTTGAAGTTGGAGGAAAGTTTTGGAAAATGTTTTCCTAAAGTTTTGAAGGGAAGTCATTTTCCTTGAATTTGAGGGAAATGAGTTGATTTGGAAAACATTTTCCAAAACATTTTACCCAACCAAGCATGAGAAAATTGGAAAATATTTTTCGGAAAATGTTTTCCTTCATACCAAACACACCCTTCAAGTAATTATGACATCTCGAGATACAAGCAATTGTGGATGATATAACTAGTAAATATGATCCTCCCCAAGTCAATATAAATCTCATAATTCTCAAACATTTATTGCAGTATTAATTATTTTTTTTAAAAAAATTACACTATTTGGTTCATGAGCTTTATGTAGTATGATAAAATGGATGTCCATATAGATTACAACAAAGTTTTTTTTTTTTTGCTTTGGAATTGGAAGGATTTTATTTATTAAATAGTAGGTTCATCCATACAAAAAGAAATTGATCTAAACGATATAGTTTCATTCACATCTCCTTCAAGAGCTTTTAGTGTAAAGGAAGGAGATGTTTCAAAAACAAACAACTTGTTCATAGGCATATTTGCATCCATAGTCTTCCTTCCATATTCCTCTAATATGTCTGCTATTGAGTTAGCCTCCCTCATTATATGCTTCATTGTTGATCCTCCCATCAGTAGGAGCATTGACTTGCAATCCGAATTAATGTGTGAGTATTGGTTTAGAACTTTCTAAGGTGTTAAGTAATAATACATGAGAGTCGGTCTCCATGAGCAAATGGTTAATGTTTATTTTCTATGCTAGATTCAAACCATGGAGCAAAGCTAGTAGTTCCGCATGATGGGCATTAACGACATTTACTTTGCAAGAAAATCCTACAATCCAACTGCCTAGATAGTCCCTTAAACTCCACCGGTTCCACCCATTTTCAAGTTTTGATTATCGGGACTAGGCAGGCCGTGGGCACTAACTACGAGTTTCCTAGCGAAGTGTATTGCCTTGATGAGCATAATTTTTGAATTTCTTTGTGAAGGTTTGGTCCAGTGATGATAATGCCATACTTATTCCATATATGCTTTGCATCTGGACACTCCATAAAAATATGAGTTACATTTTCTTCTTCATTTGTACAAGAGTAACAAGTTTTATATCTTATTACTTGATATTTATTATTTATCAAGTTGTCTTGGTAAGACAATTTTCTTAATCTTCTTTATAATTTTCCTTCTATTTAAAAGTTTGGTTTGTTATTATGGTCAATCTTATCATGTATAGTAATATTATTTTTGCTGATTGTTTTTTTGCACGGATGGGTCGCAACTAAGACGCAAGTAAAATATAACTCACTCTAATGAATTGCTTCTATATTAAGGAGCTAGAAAATATCCAGTTGGAGTATGAGTTTGAGTGCAAGGGTCAAACCTATGGATTTCCGGTCTACGTCTGTCAGGATTCACCCCACGGAGCCAGAAGCTCATGTTCAAAGTTCTTTAGCAGTTGCTTGGCATCCAGGTATGCTAATTTTAATTGAGTAGTTAGACCTGTCTTTACTTGCATAATACCTTGTGAATTGTTGGGAGTTTGGGCAGACGAATGCGTGGATATCTAGGGTTGTTTAGGGTGGTAAGGTACTTAACTTGATGATATTAATCTTGCGATTGTTGCTAGGTGTTATTCTAGGGTTGGTAACCGGTAGGTCGTAAGTGGGAAAAGTTGTTCGAAAAGAGTTGTCCAAGAGTAGGTGATGGTTGTTGTTTTTCAAGTTATGTAATGTGTGCATATTAATTGTCTCTATTGTAAAACTTGTACAATGCATGTTGGGGAAAACATAAGGGTTTGGATGTGAAATGATCAATTCTTGACAATCTCATGCAATTAAGCTGTTTTACTTACTTGTATTTACTAGTGTGATTGTATATTATTGTGAATGTGTTTGTGTGACTATTCGTTGACTCGGGTACCAAGCCTGGTGCAGGATATCCTAGGCCTTTCTCACGATTATTTCACCCAAATTAGGGTTTTTTTTCACAATTAACCTCTAAGGTAGTTCCCATAAATTCTATGACCTAAGAATTGAATTATCAAGCTAAGGGAGTAATTAAATTTCCTTTAACTATGATTACGATGAAAATAAGAGAAAATTCACCCTAGGTCACACTTGCTCTTCCCCAAAATGAAATTGCCAAACAATGGGTGGTTTTGGGAATTTTCTTGCATTAAATGCGACTAACGTCGCTATAACGGCCCAATCTCGCTATAGCGACATCGCTGTAGCGGGACCTTCCGCTATAACGAGAATTAAGTCCACCTCTATAGCATTGTTCACCCGCTATAGCCGCTTGCACGGGATAGAAATTCGAAAATTTCTCAAAAAGATCCCATTTTGCAACACACCTTCGAAACTTGATGTGTTAAACTAACACTTTCATGCCAAGTTCGATATATAAGAGTTTTACTTGCCTGAATTCACTTTTGCAAAGCCCTATGGAATCCCTGCGTCTTAGAAACAAGAAAAAACAAACTCACTTAGACATTTCACCCTATCCTTTTTTCGGATTGTCCTAAACCTTATCACACTCAAATTTCGTCCAAGCCTAACCTAGCTGAAATTTTTAATTCACTATTCCAAAAGTTTTGTTCCTCATTGACTTTCACTAGTAGCTCTCCCATGAAGACTGGAAGGGTCTTTCACACTACGACATTAGGAGAGTTCATATTACTAGACAGACTCTTCGTTACTTTATCCAATATTTGCTTCAAATACTTGCATTTACCTCTATTCTCATTTATAGTTTCTCGTGAATTTTGTTTTCTTTTAATCCTTTCATCTAGGGTAATTAACCCCCCCCCCTCCCCCTCATATGAACTCTATCTTGTGTATTAATAACAACTAATAAATACATTTATATGGGGACACAAACTAAAACCTATGAGAACTCACAAACTTACATGGATTAGGGAAAACAAGAGAAGTAGCACCAAATTTAATTTGGCGTTCAACTTTGTACAACATTATATATTACAGTTGAAAATAATATAACAAAAATGTATAAACAAATCTTAAGGCTGAGGCACGGATATCTTGCTCTCTTTAAGGAGATTCAAGCCCACTGCGGCATAATCTACACCGATCCAACAGTATCACTCTTGACTTGTCCCCTCCAGGATACAACAACCCAACAACGTGTACAACTCAAGAAACTCCGGATTAGTTGAAGAGTCCAAAGCTCCACATAAGAACACCTTCCTTCAACATATAAATATTCTCTTTTGTATATAGTGAATATAGTTGAAAATTAAACTTAGAATATTATTCTTTGTCTCAACTCTCTCTTTCACTACAACACTAATCTCAATATAAACACAATAAAATACTACTCATCTTTTCCACTCGATATTTTCTTGTACTTATCTTGTTTTTCCTTATCCCTCAACCCAAAGGAAGACCACACTATAGCTATTTATAGGTGATGAATTCTTCCTTGCAATGAATAGGAAGATAGTGGGTAGTAAATTTGCCAAATGAATGGCTCAAAAATGTTACATAAGTTACAAGACATAAAGATAGAATAATGGATGAAATGAAGAGTTGGTGGTTACATAAGTTACTAAAAACTAATGACCACTTTCTTCCACAATTGATGAGGGTAAAGAGGCACAAATATAATGTCCATCAATAGACATAACATGATATATAATGTGACATATAATATATTTTTATTAATATTAAAATGTCACACCAACAAATACATTTAGATGGGGACACAAACAAAAACCTATGAGAACTCACAAACTTACATGGATTAGGGAAAACAGGAGAAGTAGCACCAAATTTAATTTGGCGTTCAACTTTGCTACAACATTATATAGCAAATACAAACTTAATGTCGCTTGTTGTGTTCAAATAGGGTGGCTTAAGATCCTAAAAACTAACTACAACGTGGCTACTTATGGCGGATCGCACTGTGATGCGTATAATAGGTATTTTGTATCATGTGCTAGTGAAGGTTGAGACCTAAATATCAGGTTATTGTTTTTTATGTTTGGTTAGAAAGAAGAAAATATTGTCTCAAGAGCATTTAGGTAGAATCAGACAAATACTTTAACATTAGACTCGTACCTTACCATTTAACCCAAAACTAGACCCTGGTCCCTAACCTCAAACCTACCTATAACTAGATCCTCAAGACGATCATGCCCAAACACAAGATCCGACACTAACTCAAGACCTAATTTCTATCATAATCCCGACTGAGATTAAAGACCCAAATTCGAACCAGGATATGACCCGACACTTACTTAGGATGAGGTCAAGGCCGAGGTTGGATCTCAAGTTAGGAGTCAACTGCTCAGATCTCAAGTCAGGGTCAGTGGTCAAGAGTTGGGAATCAAGAGTCGAGTCTGAGGTCTCGAGTCTCAGGCTCAGGGTTAGGATTGGGGAATCGGGATCCATAGTTGAGTTTAATTAGGGTTGGGAGTTGGTACCCTTGTCAAGATCAATTCTGAAGTTAGGTCTTAAGTTGGGGAAGACAGGATTTATAAAATCATTCCACACTTAACCAGGAATAAGGTTGAATTAACTAAAAGAAAATTTCACTAAATTTCTTAAACTAGATGGATTTTATATCGTATATCAAGGAAAGAATTCAAATCAAGACGATCAAAAATGGAAAAATAAATTAGGGTTACAAGTGTTTTTGGGGTGGTGAGATGGGGATGGAAAAATAAAGATTGCAAAAATTTTAAATTATGATTTTTAGAATTGAGATAAAACATAGAGCTTGTTAAAAATAAACAAGGAAATGAGGGCACCTAATATGAAAGAGACTAAAATATATGATATCAAGAGAAATTTTAGTAGCTTAGTTAGTTGACCATCCAAATTTTTGTCTTGTTGTAAGAGTTTGATTCCCCACTTTGTCATTGATCCATCATTTCCCTTTTCAATAATAATAATAATAATAATAATAAATGGTATAAAATAAATCATACAAACAAGGAAACAAATCAATTGATGTTCAAAGAGGAAATATATAGTGTTACCCATTTAAATAGTTTCATCCATATTTTGCGATATCCTCATCTCCTTTCTTTTTTAGGACCAATTTATGAGAAAAAGTCCTCTCAGATTTTCATGTTTTTATCAAAACTTTACGGTAAGTGGATAAAGGAGAAAAAAAAGGAAGTGAAAAAGTGATTCAAATATGAAAAGGATACAGTGATTCACATACGAAATAATAGGGCATGAAGAAGGTCGTTAAGGTTTGTAGGATGAAAGAGATACAAAGAGGAGAGTTGGGAGCGATTGAAGGAAATTGAAATGGATTAGGGTTTAGAAAATAGTTATGAGCATTAAAAAAATAATGAAGCGGAGAAGTGTGGGCCATCCAGTTAAATTGAATGAATAACAGAGACTAAAAAGATCAAATGGGTTGCGGCCAAACAAAACATCCAGAACCCAACCCATTTGATCTTTTTAATCTCCGCAGTTAATTTAATTTAACCAGACCACCCACACATTTCCCTTTCACTATATATTTAACCCTTAACTATTTTCTAAACGCTAGTTCATTTCTATTTCCTTTGGTCGCCCCCAACTCTCCTTTTTCTTTCCCATTCATCCTACAAACCCTAACAACCTTCTTCAAGTTCTCATTATTTTGTATGTGATCGATATATTCTTTTCATTTTCAAACCTCCTTGTCACTTTTTTTTCTCCTCTGTCCATTTATTGTAAATATTAGATAACAAACATGAAGAATTGAGAAGACTTTTCATCATAAATTGGTCCAAAAAAGGAAAAGAGATGAAAATATTGAGAAACTTGAGTAAAATTATCTAAATACTAGTAAATTGGGTAACACTGTTTATTTCCTCTTTGAATGTTGATTGGTATGCTGTCATGTTTATATGATTTATTTTAATATCATTTTTTTACTTATTATTGATAAGAGAAGCGATGGAGGGGATTACAATGTGGAGAATCAGACTCTCACAAACAAAGCAAAATATTTAGATAGTCAATCAACTAATCTACTAAAATTTCCCTTAATACCGTCTATTTTAGTCTCTTCCATATTATGTATTCTCCATTCCTTGTTTAACTTTAACAGAATCAATGTTAAATCTCAACTCTAAAAATACTAATTAAATTTTTTTCTAATTTGTATTTTCCAATACCCCCGTCCCCCTCAGAAAAAACTTGTAATCCTAATTTAGATTTCCATTTTTGGTTGTTCTAATTCCAATAGTTTTCTTGATAAGTGACTTAAAATTCATCTTGTTAAAGAAATGGTATTAATAATAATAATAATTAAAAAAAAATGGTATTAAAATATATCATACAAGTATGGAAACAAATCTATCAATATTCAAAGCGGAAATAGACGGTATTACCCCATTTTACTAGTATTTAATAGTTTCATCCATATTTTGTGATTTCCTCATCCCCTTCCTTTATTGGACCGACTTATGATAAAAAGGCCTCTCAGATCTTCATGGTTTTATCCAAACTGTATAGTAAATGGATAAAGGAAAAAGTCAACGAGTGGTTCAAAAAATGAAAAGAATATAGTGATTCACATACAAAATAATAGGGCTTGAAGAAGGTTGTTAAAGTTTGTAGATGAAAGAGAGAAATAGAAGAGAGTTGGGGCGATTGGAGGAAATAAAATGATTTAAGGTTTGGAAAATAGTTGTGAGAATTAAATAAATAGTGTGGATCGTCTAGTTTAATTGAATGAATAACATATTTGATCTTCTTAATCTCTGTTGTTCATTCAATTTAACCAGACGACCAACACATCTCCTATTCACTATATATTTGACCCTCACAACTCTTTTCTAAACCCTAATAGATCTCTATTTCC